CAACTAATCAGTACCAATTAATAACTGATAATAATATTAATAATAATAATAATAATAATAATAATGATTGAGAATGTATATAGCGCAAATTGTAAAACAATGTTAAAATCAAATGCGCTTTAGACTGAAGCTTATAATGTTCCCTTAAAAATAATAGTTTTTTTCGACGGTTCCATGGAATATCGAGTTACGTAACTAATCAGTACCAATTAATAACTAATAATTATAATAATAATAATAATAATAATAATAATAATAATAATAATAATAATAATAATAATAATAATAATAATAATAATTGAGAATGTATATAGCGCAAATTATAAAACAATGTTAACATCAAATGCGCTTTAGACTGAAAGTTATGATGTTTCCTTAAAAAAATAGTTTTGATGATAGATTTGAAAGTGGATATTGTAGAAGATTGCTTAAATGCAATGGTAGATTTATCTATATTAAAATATACTGTGTGGGACATTCAAAACGTTGTCTTAAATGTTTTTTCTTCATAATGTTTTGCCAAGCTTATAATTCAGCGACCCCACTGTCTCCGGGTACCAGGAGCTTCGAATTGTGCATGCATTTAACGTGAACACGTCTGTAATACAAGCAAAATAATTTACGTATACGTTTCTAGACCTTTTGACGGTACTTAAGGCGTATTGAACTAATGTAAAATACCTCTCACTCACTTTCAAATGCGATCCCAAAGAAATCACTTGCGTAGGCCTATATGTGTACAGAATTTGGAATGTGATAATTGCAGTGGTAATGGGGGTACGCGGGTTTAGTTCTCTGAAGTGATTTTTATTTACAGTACTTCAGTAAATTCTCTTGCTCAGAAAATTTCCAGTGGGGAGGGGATGCATGGAGGCGCAAACTTCTGAGAGACGTGCCCCACCACCTCTCTTCCACACCTTGCCCGTTAGATGTGGATGAATTGCATTGTTCATCGTATCTTCGAACCGAAATCGATTTGAAATTATACTGTATATATTACTAAATCAGTTATTATCGAATGCAAAGAACATGAGTTCAAAAATACAAAACCAACAAAACTAATTTCTTAACGGATTTTGTGATGGCGCTCTACACTAATCCGCATGCAGCAAGTGATTAGAATTGATAACATTTCCACAGTACACACACATATCGCTGGTAGTCCAGTTGTGGAACACACAACCAATTTTCCTGGGACGTGCTGTTGGTAGAAGATTCAAGTATTGACGGGTCTGACAAAATGGTCGTTAAATCCATGAAAATGTCAACAGGATTAACTGAATTGCAACAGGTTCTACTTGATGCGTTGCTGGAATCAAATGTGAGCAAAGATGCACTTTTAGTGTCGATTTCGAACTATTTTGACAAATTTGAGGACGATTATGCAACGGAGTCCAAAATCATCCCCGATGATTTCAAAACGGAAGAAAGATACATTGATATGGACGCGGGATATGAGGACAAAATGACAAATAAGTCAACATTTATAACAGATACTAAGATCGATTCGGATGATTCGTTCGAAAACAAATCTAAAGATGATACTGTTGATGTGGAAGGAGATGATGAAGAGGAAGAAGACGATGAAGATGAGGAGGACGACTATACTTTGCAGTCAGTTGACAGTTCTCTCGATCATCAAGTTACATTAAAGGATCAACTATTGAGGTATTCTTTAATACCCTTTGATGATTTGGCTGGATAACGATGTATTTAAACATTTTCTAATTCA